GACAATTTTATGAACGGTTTATTTCAGCATGTTCGCACTGCTTTTTGATTCAGTCGAGACAGGAGCGAGACAGGGTAAAATACCCGGATGTTAATTTTTTGTGTGGGAATTTTTTGGGTGATATACTAATGTAGTATTCTATTAACTATTAATAATTTCAGAATGCCATACAAGACAGCAAGATTTTCCCGGGGAAAAACGTGTATATACAAAGCATGTTTATTTCCACGTTTGAGACTGCTCTTCGGTGAAAGTGCCATGTATTGCAATGCTTTGTGGGAAAAAATGACGCAACTCTCGCACTGTCTCATGATTTATCGTGTGTTTTCTCGTCGCCAGTTTTATGCTAATGACTTCTTAGCTCGTTAACACATTTTGTTTCAATGTTTATGGAGACAAGGGTAGTTACAATAGAACAACGCGGCGCTTCCTAACCGTCCTAGTAGAGTGACTGTGCCCTGATCAAAAACTAATGAAAATATTTGTAAATAGCCGGGGAATTACACAGTCAGGGTTTTAACAACATCAAAAGTCACAATTATTGTTTGACATTGATGTTAAAAATATATATAAAAGAATCTCTGTGTCACAATAAATGTCTATGGCATACATTTGTTTTTATTGTAAAAAATACTTGAATTTTGTTCTACTGTTTTTCCAGTCAGAATTGTCATCTCTAACAAAACTGTAAATACTTGACTGCATTTACATAATGAATAGAATAGAATACAGGAATAGCAAATCATTGGACAGAATGTCATATAGGTCACTGCCCTTATACACATTAATACAAATATCTTGAGATAATTGGCTCCGTTCGTGAAAATATAGTCACAGGATATACCCCATCACATTCTGTCATAATATTTGATATGATGAATCTACCAATCAATCAAAACCGAATGAATCCTGATGAATCCATAAAATCCGAATGAATCCAAATGAATCCTCAAATGCTTTCCCAAATCCATGCCATCAATCATGTCCCTGAATATTCCAAGATACCAATAAATAAGAAAGTTTTATCTCAGAGTACATATACTTAATGATTTAGTCAACCCAGTCAATAATCATTGTTAATTTATTGGTAGTGTTTTCCTGTATATTTTCTCTTTTCAATTTAATACTATAATTATTGCCTATATTAAGTGCAGAATATTCATTGTCACATGTAACATGTAACCAATCTGGAACCACCTATAAATGACAAAAAAAAAAAACAATTTAACCAGAATAATGCCCCTTGAAGGCAACTGACATTTGCCACTGACAGTGGCAATTGACAATGGTGTGACAGTATAGCTCCGAGCTGATAGAAGATTAATCCTAAGTCACCCAGAATTTCCAAAAAAGAAACTGTAGCATACATACATACATTTTAACTGACCCCCTAGACTGGCTGAAATTTGAAAATGTGATACTTAATACTTGTCTAATCATAACAAATATTTGATGAATTACTTTGCCAATCCATGACTACATCAAGTTTAAACCTCATAGTAAAACATCAATGATCTGATCAATGCTTAACTTTGTTAACTTAACAACCATCATTAGCGGTGAAACCATGCTGTGCTTGTAATCTAGTCAGTATCATTAATCTTTCATTCGGCACTTCCATTTACAAGCGATTTCAGAACCGACAAAGTTCATATTCAAATACTGTTCCAACCTTAATCATGTGCAACATTTGTTTTGATTACTAATTTTCTGAATAATTAACATAAACATGTAGTTGCATACTGATGCTGTGTACACAGCTATAAAAACACAAATAACACAAAGCAAATTACATATTAAACTGTTTTCAATTTGTTTTCAATATGACTATTATGTAAACCACTGTAAGTCTGTTACCTGGCTGCAAGATATAACGAGTGCATTTATGCTTTTATTTTTCATAAAATTTTAAACCCCAACAGATTTTGATCTGTGATTAATCTAAGAAAACATAACCTTCAATCTGAAAACTGACATGGGTCTTTAATCTTGGAAATGACATAGACGTTCAATCTGAGAAATAACATGGGCCTTTAATCTGGGAACAGATATGAGCCTTTAATATGAGAAATGACATAGACCATTAAATATGAGAAATGACTTGGGGGGGGGGGGGTTCAAACTTTTGTTTGATTTCATATTTAACTAAACAGCCTTGTTCATACACTGCAGTGTTTTATATTTATTAACTCAGCATTCATACTTTTTCATGTACTGTAAAATGACTAGTATTCACTGGGTTTAAATTTCACTGATTTACCATTTCAGGCATATTCAGTGGGTTTTAAATTCACGGTTTCATCATTTAGATAATGTGTTCTATGCTAAATTTTACATATTCACTGTGTTTTAATTTAGCGCATTTTTCCAGTCAGCGAAATAAGCTAAATTAAAACCCAGTGAAAAATTACCCCCTTTACAGTATTCACCTACCATTGAATCGCCATTAGAGGGCCTATAATTATTAATTAAAAGAATGGTCCTTAATATTTTTATCCATACATGGTTACTGTGATCTGAATCACTCAATGCACATTATACTCATTATGGCAAACCACAACCCTTTTATGGCAACTGAATAGCCTCTGAGTCAAGCTGGAAAACAATTTGGACAAAAAACAAGCTCTGGTGGGTGATTTATTATACTACATGTACTTGATAAATAATAACCAGTAAAGAAATTTTCTAGGAAACTATCTGTTTCTCCCACCCATTTCACATTGAGGTGAAGCAAAATAGAATATTTATTTCATAATTGGTACAAGTAATGCACGTTTGTTTTCTAAACTAATTTTAATAGACGTAATCAAATATTCAAAATTTGCAACAGAGAGCTTGGTCGATCTGGCTAGCTTGTTCCGACATAGGCTCAAGCTATCCAATCAAAGGCATGCATCAGGTCACTCATGACTTCCACATATGGTAGTGATGAACTTTCAAAAACATGGCGCCAAAGTCATTCAAGCTGCTAGATTAAGTTGAATTTAGTCATAAACCAAGATCTGTAGTTATAGTATGAAAGTTATGCGTGTCAGAACAAATAACTGAATATTTAAATAAATATGTTAATCATAAAATATTGTGATTATGTTTTACAATTAAAATGGCATTCCTATGGCCAGACTATTAACCCTTCGAGCACTAAAGTCAACTTCAGGCACCATCAATAAAATACTTTCATTTATAGTCTGCTTTTTTACACAGAAAATGTTGATGATAATTAAAAAAATGTCGATCAAAAACTAGAAAAAATGCCACATCCAAAATTAAAATTGAATCCAGTGAAATTTAAAGACATTTTGTGAAAAAATTTACCCAATTTCAAGAGGAAAAACAATTTAACGCTCAAAGAATTAACCATCCCTATAAGTGTATCAGTGTACTGTTCCATCGGATTACATTCATATCAAATCTAATTTCACAGACAGACAGACTGTGCCTACCAAGTCAGAATGTATGCCTGCAGTGAAATATGTATTATTATACTAACTCCATGACAAGGCTCATCTGTGGTTATTTGATAACAAAAGTAATTAAAATTGGCTTAACAAGTGACAACACAGAGACAACATGACATTTATCAAGGATTTATAAGATTAAGGTAAGCAATTACTATCATATCACATGCAGATCTTGTGGTACATGTATAATTGATGAAATCATGAAAATTGCGAGATGATACAAAATCATATTTCTAGAAATAGTAAATGAGCAAGTCTGTGAAAGAATGGTTAGTGTTAATCTGTTTTGTAAATTCTAATTTGTGTATTCGCAAAATGTGTATTATGCATGTTTGAATATGATGATCTGGTTGATTTCTATTTACGCAAACAACCTTCAAAGACTACTGTGTTCAGTGATGTCACTGGTTGATATAACTGATGCGCATACGGAACACGTGAGACTACGAGATAAAAGTTGCACAACTCCTTGCATACTGTAGAATACTTTATTTCACTTGAAATTAATTTTCCTTTTTTTCTCTGAAGGAATGATTCAGTGAAAATAAAATCCAGTGAATATACCTTTTTCTCAATACTTTACATTCAACTTGTCAAAAACCAGTGAAAATAAATTCCATACAAAATACCAAAAATGACTTTTCAGCGAAAAAGTATTTTACAGTATATTATGTTCAGACATTCTTTATGAAAATTATTCTCTTTGTTTAAAGTCATTTTGGTGCTGAAAACAAAAATATGTGCGAACAGAAACAGAATATTTAAAAAGCAAAGAAAATGAGGATGAAAAATGATGATTTAACAGCAAGACGTCACAGATGAAGTGATACTACTGTACATACAGGTCTGGTTGATATCTTCTTACAAGGTGAACAACTATCTATTTTTAAAGTACACAGACTCCATCCAGTCTTTATAATGGGAAATGCTAAGTCATGATTGGCTGCAAGTAGCCAGTTGAAACTTGCAATACAACAAGGGAAATGAAAACAAATTCAAATATGGATTTGGGATATGAGAAATTAAAACGCAAAAAAATAAAATAAAATACAGACACAGATACATTTAGGTTTAGCATGCATGATTTGGGTACAATATTTAGTGATGTACTATCTACACAGTCCTAGGTATATTGAATACATACATGTATGATTAGCCTGTTTGCATTACCACATTGCATCAAACAATACATTTTAAAAATATAATATACATGTAGATAAAAGCAGACATAACTGCACTTGACAAGTACTTTCTTCCCTGTATGTTCGCAATCCTTTACCAACAAAATATGGAGCATTTCAGATATAGAACACAAAATATGTAAACCTTGGTTCATCAATTTGAAACCCATAAGAATTCAATTTATGTAACTTGGATACCTACATGAGAGCAGGATAAGAGTTCTTTCATGATGTATTTGTCGTATATTTGTCTCGCCTTTTTAAGTCTTTCTTCTTCTGTGTCCAGCTTTTCATATTCTTTGATCTGTAAAAAAAATAAATAAATAACAATTATTTTGAGGATAAAACAAACAATTTTGATGATAACTAACATATGGTAACAAGTTTTCAAATCTTGCATAAATTTACCTTTGTCAAAGTAAAAAGCATGCAGATTTCAGATTTGCATTTTTTGAATAGTCCATAAATCACGCTCATTTCTATTAACACAATTAAAAGCGCGCACATTTAAAATAACACCATTGGTTGGGTATACATTTGATTGACACGCATAGAATGAGATCATTTTCAAACTCTCACAAATCATGAGAGTTCGCTTCTTGTGAGATCTCACCTCACTATACATAGTTATGAAAGTTGCAGATCCTTATCTTATAATTTCTTGATATTATTTTTTATCAAATAACTTTTTTGGTTTATGTGAACGCATATTGATTAGACAAAGCAGATTTTTGAGCCGCAATAATTAAGTTCATTTTTGTCACTGTTAGCATAGTGGTTGTCGCTTCAAACTCATAATTGGTAGACCCAAGTTCAAATCCTACCTCAGACTGAACATCAAAGGGTCAACCCCCTACCCTTGGTGAGTGTGCCACAGACTCAATGGGAAGGCCAATTCCACTGGCCGAGATTCATTCACTAACTAATGCAACTTTGGGGGAACCTTGGTTAAGGTCCGCAGGTGCTTGTGTTCGACCGAGCCTGGTTGACGCCAGGATAGCGCATTAAACTGCCATTTGATAGGAAGATGGCCGCACAGCCCTGTCATGTAGTCCTAAACATGAATATGACTTCGGTGGCAACAAATTCATTTTTGTCGGTCAGAACATTAAAAAGTAATTTGGGTAATTCTGGATTGCACTTTCAATGATTTTTGGTCAAATATTGATTGAGGCACTTGACTTGATTAAAATTTAAAATAAATAAATTGTACATTATTACATCAGTCGTTTTTCTATTCACAATGTACAGAACAATAATTGTACATTTTTTATTACTCAAAATCCAGCTGTTTGTGTAGTTCAATGAGCTTCTTTTTGTCGTGAACAATTAAACACATGTATTTAGGTAATATAAAAATAACTTAATGTATAAAAAAATGAATAAATGACTAAACAAAGTCGCTTGCTGACTGACATATTGTTTATACAGGCCAAAAGATCATACCATTATTCAACAGAACATGTTACCATTTTTTCACAGAAATTAATACTGTATAACAGCTTTTTTATCTGGTTATTAAACTTTTTTTAATTAAAATATAATATAATCACCATAACTTTTTTATTATAATCTACCTACAGTAATAATGTTACACAACCTGACTTAGAATCATATATTGGAACAAAAGTACACTTAGAAAATAAAGCCAACGGAAATTGTTACGTATACAATGTATCAGAACAAATGACTGATAAATTGTCTTTCAGTCATCAAATAGACATTCTTTTTGGTTTCCATATAAATTAAGACTGGAATCCCAAAACTTGATACACAGTAAAAATAAAATCTAGTCTGTCAAAATCTGTAGATGCATTTTCAATTAATTAACACATGAAACATGTTTGCTGTTTTTTGTCAGTCCCCTTGGCAACCAACAAAATGAGGTCACATGGTAGTGAGAGAATATTAGTTTAGGAACAATTATTAAACACTAAATTACTATAATTTAAAAATAAAGGCTACTGAATGTAGGTTATCAGATTCAGAGAAGGGGGAAAAAAAAAAACATTTCAACTGTGTGAACATTGCCTTGCTGATCACGAGGAAACTTTAGTTATGATATATACATTTCACTTCTGTCTCTGACAGGAAAAATCATTTAATATGTTTTTATATCATTTGTTTTGGTACAATGTAGCAAACATCTTATTGTAAGTACTTTAACCAACCCTTGAAGCACCAAACTCAACATTTGTTACTTTTAAAATCTGCATAAATGTTTTTTTTTAAATATTGACCTGTAGCAAATATGAAATATTATCCCAAAAATTTATACCGGTATAAAGAAATAAACAAGCAGCCAATCGGCTGAAATAGTCCGCTGTTAGCAATGCACATTTCAGTTAAAGAACTGAAGATATCACTGGAAAAGGAACAATAGTATCAAAGCAATCAGACTTGCTGTTTTCAACAAGAATTCAAAAATATCACTTTTCACCAAAAATAATCATCAAAATTAGTTAATTGAAGATATCGCCACAAAATTAACAAATCTGAAAGAGGTCCACATGTAGTACCTATATATGTAATATAAAAGCAATCGGACTTGCAGTTTTCAAAAAGAAGTCAAAAAAATCACTTTTTACCAAAAATTACAAAAATATTCACTAAAATTAGAGAATTAAAAATATCACGAAATTAACAAATCTGAGAGAGGTCCACATGTAGTACCTATATATGTAATATCAAAGCAATTGGACTTGCGTTTTTTCACAAGAAGTCAAAAATATCGCTTTTTGCAAACAAGCAGCCTGTCGGCTGAGATAGCTCCGCTGTTAGCAATGCACATGGCAATTAAAGAACAGAAGATATCATTAGAAAATGAACAAATTTGAGAGAGGTCCACATGTAGTACCTATATGTATAATATATCAAAGCAATTGGACTTGCGGTTTTCAACAAGAAGTCGAAAATATCACTTTTTACCAAAAATTACAAAAATATTCATCAAAATTAGAGAATTAAAGA